GGCTGAGCCGGAGAGATTCTACCCAGAAAGGTTTGTTGAGAGCTCGGTTGATTTCAAAGGGACTGATTATGAGTTCATCCCATTTGGTGCTGGGAGGAGGATGTGTCCTGGTATACCATTTGCAATGGAAAATATTAAGTTTTCTCTTGCACAATTGTTGTTCCATTTTGATTGGAAATTACCGGATGGGATTAGCAAAGAGAATTTGGTTATGAGTGAGAGTTTTGGTTTGACTGTGAGAAGAAAAGGGGATCTTCACTTGGTTCCAATTCCTTGCAATATGTAATCTTGTTTTCTTTTTTTTTTCCCCTCAAAAAAAAAAAAAAAAGCACACTGTCGATTGAGGCTAGCTCAATTAATGTTACGGTGACTTGTCCAAGTCTAACTTATTTATTAAGAGATGTTTAGTTTATAAATTAAAATTATAAAATTAAAATTATTTTTAATTTATATATATTTTTTATAAAAAAAAACACAATAATAAATTATAAATTATAATTTAAATTATATTATAAATCTCCTTACTAAATTAATTCTTCATTTGCGCAAGCATGGGGAACTGTTTTCATTGACTGTCTTAAATTGTACCGATCGATGACCGAGCCTATTATAATGATAATGATTTTTGTTTATTTTATTAGGTGCTACACTTATCATGAACTATTTTCTTCGACTGTCCTAAATTGCACCAATGACTGAGACTATTCTGATGATGACGACTTTTGTTTATTTTATTGGATACTACACTTGTCTCTAGACTTGACACGTTAAGAAATATATTTTTTGTTATTCTTATTTAAATTTCATGGGCACAGTTTCTTTAGCCATCCTTTATTACTTGATCTTAAGACTCTTGACAAACACACACTTGTTGTAAAACGAGAATGTTTGGTAGATGGATTTGTTCCCTAATTCGAATTATAATTTATGGTTCGCTACAGTATTTTCTCTCATAAAAAATTCACGTAAATCGAAAATAATTTGAATCACATGGTTTGAATCATCCAACCAAACGTCCTTTAAATTTAAGGGTTGTTTTTTTTTTTTTTTGTATTTTTGAGTTAGGATGATTTGAATGATAATTTTGAGTTGAGTTTGAGTTATAAGTTGAGTTAAAATTGTAACTTGAGTTTGTGTTTAGATGTGCATATTTGAGTTATGATTTGAATTGAGAATCTATTTGAGCTTGTACTTAGGTGGGTCAAAACTTAAATTTATATTTAGATAATATTTTAATAAAAACTCAATAGTGATAAAAAATTTTAATAGGGTATATGGGTGAGGTTTTATTTGTCTTTTCGTTGTGAATGCATAGAAAAAAAATCATCTCAATCAGAATTAAAACGAAAAAGTTATGACATTTTTAAAAATAGAAAAAATATTGTTCATTAACTTGAGTTCGAGTTTATGAACTCGAGTTGAAGGGAAAACTTGAATTCAAGTTTAGCCTCAAACTCGAGTTCAAACTCAAATTTTACAAAAGAACATGAATTTGAATAAAGTTGTAACTCGAGTTCAAACTTTTGCTGAGTTTCGTTGCAAAAGAGCAACCCCGTAGTCATACAAATTAGATTCTTGAAAATAATTAAGGTCTCGTTTATTTCACCAATTCGAATTTAAAATTTGAGTTTTGTTATAGTAAAAAACTCTAAAAAATAATCACATCTAATTTTTTTTATAACAATAAAAAACTCTCATATAAAATTACATCTTAACTTAAATTATTACGAATAGTCACACGCCAAGCTCTCGATCCAATGAATTTCTAAAATTGGGAAGGATAAATTATTACAAATAGTCGCATGCTCACATGCCAGGCTCTCGATCCAATGAATTTCCAACGTTGGGAAGGTATCCTACAAGAAAATCATATGTTAAACTTAGGGGATATTTGGTTTGAGGATTCAAACCATGATTTGAATCATGGTTCATAGTTTGTTACAGTATTTTTTCTCATAAAAAATACACGTAAATAAAAAATAGTTATAATCACATTATTCTAATCCATGAACCAAACGTCTCCTTAAAGTCATATGTTGAACACAGATCTGACAAAAATCATACGTTAAAGCCAAGGTCATCACTCATCATCCACAATGCATACGTAACTAACAAATGGAGATTTCTTAGGCGTTCAAAAATTAATTACCGAAAATATTATATTAAAAAATTATATGTTTAATACATTTTTTTAATTTGATATAATTTTAATAAAATATGACAATGAGAAACTAATTCTACCGATAAAATGACTCTACTGGAGAAAAACCCTCAACAAATTATCTACTTCGGGGAATAAAAGACTAATATATTCCCTCTTTGAAAATAAATAAGTATACTAAATTCAAGCTAGTTGAATAAAGAGTCAATTGCCAAGAGTTTTATTAGTAGGAAACATGTTCTTGATGCCTAGAACACGCATCATGTAACATGGTGAATATGAAAATGTTTCGAAAATTATGGATCACCATTTTCCCATTGATTAGAATGGAAGGCACAAATTACAAATCGGGAAAGAATCTATAGCCTATGAATCTCCTAAAATATTCAAGTAGTAAACTATTTTAAAATGTAAGTAAGCTTATTGTTTAAGATTGTCATATGCAGAACTCAAAATTTCTCTCAATATATGAAAGAATAATTTATACATATGGTTTTTAAACTCTTTATTAAGTCGCATTTTATTCGACTTTCTTTTAATTTTGACCAAATTATTTTCAAACTCTTAAAACGTTTGCAATTAATCAACTTTCATCAAATTCTGTCAAATTTTTAATAGAATGAATTAGGTACGGGGCATGTAATTTAATGTGGCCGGGATATTTTAGCGACATAACAACGGTCCTAAGTTGGGTTCAATCAGCAAACGTTGATGAAATTGTAACGAAAGAGGTATTTTTGCTAATAGTCCAAAGTTCAGAGGGATTAAATGGTGCATTTAAAAATTTAGTGGGTAAATTGACATGAGTGATAGAGTTCAAGGGTATTTTTACAATTAACCCTATTTATTAGGATAGCACTCCCCGATATTACACTTATAACATTGTCACTTGCACGTATATATACGTATAAGTGTTGCCTGGCTAATATAGATTTCTCCCAATTGATATTAAATTAGCTTTGGAAAAGAAAACGAAAAGTGAATTAGTTATATGTTTTTCAACTTTTCCATGTGATTTACACCTCACTTTCTATTTATAGAAGGGGAAATATATTTATAACAAAAAAAGTGATACAAACACCAGTCCACAATAGACGGTACTGACAGTGCATAACTTATCCTTTCATTAATAAATTAGAATGAAGCTCCAAAAATAGTAATGTGTGAGAGTTCCAAAAACGAAAAATAACGGAAGAAGTATACAAAAGTTGTGCGCACACATACGTCTTTAGTGGAAAAATGTGATCATATCTAACCGAGAAACCGGTGGTACTAAGGGCGGCACACAAAAATCAGGCATAGAGTAAAAATCATAGTCACGTTATTTCATCGTAGAGCACACGCATACATACATAAGCATATATAGATAATATATATGTATGTGTGTGTATATACATAAGCAAATAATGGTCACTGGCGACAAGTAACGGAAGATCTTATTAAATATTTCTTAAATTGACCCCCTCTTCATAATTGGTTGAATCTACATTCAGATCATTTATCCAATTTTTCGTGTCCTGAAGAATATATAACCAATTAAATTTTATTGTATTAGTTAAAAGACTTGAACATCAAAGCATGAAAAAATCAGTGAACAAACATTTCAAAATTTTTAAATGACATGGTATGATTTATTAGTTAGATACAATTTTGAACAACAAAATTGAATAAGTGTTGTCTCTAAGTATATGATTCATGATTCTTTACAGTGTTTTTCTCTCACAAATAACACACGTAAAATGAAAATAATTTTGAATCATAATTCTAAATCTATAAATTAAACATTTACTAACTTATTTATTAGTATTTCTCCTTCATTTGCGTAAGCATGGGGAACTGTTTTCATTGACTGTCTTAAATTGTACCGATCGATGACCGAGACTATTATAATGATAATGATTTTTGTTTATTTTATTAGGTGCTACACTTATTAATAATTATGAACTATTTTCTTCGAACTGTCCTAAATTGTACCAATGGCCGAGACTATTCTGATGATGACGGCTGTTGTTTATTTTATTGGATTCTACACTTGTCTCTAGACTTGTCACGTTAAGGATTATATTTTTTGTTATTCTTATTTAAATTTCATGGGCACAGTTTCTTTAGCCAGCCTTTATTACTTGATCTTGAGACTCTTGACAAACACACACTTGTTGTAAAACATAATTAATAATTTAGTCATGCAAATTGGATTCCTTAAAAATAATTAAGGTCTCATTTATTTTACCAATTCGAGTTTTGTTATAATAAAAAATTTTTAGAAATAGCCACATCTATTTTTTTACTACTGTAAAAAACTTTCACATAAAATCACATTTAAATTTAAATTAAAAACTTAAATCAGCAAAATAAACGGACTTAGCTGTGCTTGAAGGCGCGGACTATAAAAGTTTCAGCCATCGGGATAAAGTATTACGAATAGTCACATGCCAGGCTCTCGATCCAATGAATTTTCAAATTTGGGAAGGATAAATTATTACAAATAGTCGCATGCTCACATGTCAGGCTCTCGATCTAATGAATTTCCAACGTTGCGAAGGTATCCTACAAGAAAACCATATATTAAACTTATATTACGTTTGGTTCATAGATTTAGAATCATAATTTAAAATTATTCTCATTTTATATGTGTTTTTTTTTAAAAAAAATATTGTAAAGAACTATGAATCATGATTCAGAATCAGAAATGAATACAGGAAATAAACGTCCCATTAAAGTCATACGATGAGCACAGATATGACAAAAACCATATGTTAAAGCCAAGGTCATCACTCATCATCCACAATGCATACGTAACTAACAAATGGAGATTTCTTAGGCGTTTAAAAATTAATTATCGAAAAGACTATATTAAAAATTGTCAGTTCAGTATACTTTTTCAATTTAATGTAATTTTAATAAAATCCGATAGTGAAAAGCTAACTCTACCGATAAAAAGACTCAATCTGAGAAAAACCCTCAACAAATTCTCTATTTCGGGGAATAAAAGAAAAGAGTAATATATTCCCTCTTTGAAAATAAATAAGTACACTAAATTCAAGCTAGTTGAATAAAGAGTCAATTGCCAAGAGTCTTATTAATAGGAAACATGTTCTTGATGCGTGGAATATGAAAATGTTTCGAAAATTATGGATCACCATTTTCCCACTGATTAGAATGGAAGGCACAAATTACGAATCGGGAAAGATTCTATGGCCTATGAATCTCCTAAAATATTCAAGTAATATACTATTTTAAAATGTAAGTAAGCTTATTGCGTAAGATTGTCATATTAATTTATACCGATGGTCTTTAAACTCTTAATTAAGTAGCATTTTATTCGACTTTCTTTTTTTATTTTGACCAAATTATTTTCAAACTCTTAAAGCGTTTGCAATTAATCCACTTTCATCAAATTCTGTCAGATTTTTAATAGAATGAATTAGGTACGAGGCATGTAATTTAATGTGGCCGGGATATTTTAGCGACATAACAACAGTCCATAGTTGAGTTTAATCAGCAAAAGTTGACGAAATTGTAATGAAAGAGGTATTTTTGCTAACAGTCCAAAGTTCAGGGGATTGAATGTGCATTTAAAAATATAGTGGGTAAAATTGACATGAGTGATAGAGTTTAAGGGTATTTTTACAATCAGAAATAGTAGAAAATAGACCAATATGAAAAGCTGAAGAAAGTATATAGGCAAATTTTTAGTTATAGAAATTAATAGGTCATAACTTGTCAAGTTATGGTTCATAACCAGATAAGTTATGGACAAACTTGTCAAGTTACGGTTCATAGTTAGACAAGTTATGAACAAAAACCGTGAATTATGGACAATAATTTGTCAAGTAATGGTTCATAACCAGATAAGTTATGGACAAAAACAATAATGTGACCTATTTATTAACTTATGTAAACTATTGACCTATTAATTTTAATTTATCTTAAGTCTTGGTCTATTTTCCTCTTTCTCCCTTTTACAATTAACCCTATTTATTAGGATAGCACTCCCCGATATTACACTTATAATATTGTCACTTGCACGTATATATACGTATATATGTTGCCTGGCTAATATAGATTTCTCCCAATATTAAATTAGCTTTGGAAAAGGAAAGGAAAAGTGAATTAGTTATATGTTTTTCAACTTTTCCATGTGATTTACACCTCACTTTCTATTTATAGAAGGGGAAATATATTTATAAAAAAGTGATATAAACACCGTACTGACAGTGCATAACTTATCCTTTTACTAGTAAATTAGAATGAAGCTCAAAAAATAGTAATGTGAGAGTTCCAAAAAGGAAAAATACTGGAAGAAGTATAAAAAAGATGAGCGCACACATGAGTCTTTAACATGTATATCTTCTATAATAAGTGGAAAAATCTGATCATATATAACCGAGAAACCGGTGGTACTAAGGGCGGCACACAAAAATCAGGCATAGAGTAAAAATCATAGGCTGTGTTTAGAATTGATTTTATTTTTATTTTTTATGTTTTTCGAGAAAAAAAATAAAAACGTTTTTAAAACATCGTTTGGCGCAATAAAAACAAAAAACAGAAATAAAAAAGATTTTTTAGTTTAGTGTAAAATGAGAGAGAAATAAAAAACGACTTTTAGTCGTTTTTCATTTTTTGTTTTCGTTTTCTCCTCTCTCGAGTTGAGAGAGAAAGAGAGACATTAATGAGTTTTTTTACACTGAAAATAATCTCTTAATAAAATAACCAAACGCATTTTAAAAAATAATTTCTGTCTGAGATTGAAAATGTTTTCATTTTCATTTTCATACAAAAAATAAAATCATTTTAGAACGAATTCTAAACGCGCTCATAGTCGTGTTATTTCATCGTAGAGCACAAGCATACATACATAAGCATATATACATTATATATATATATATATATATATATATATATGTGTGTGTGTATATGTGTGTGAGAATATAAATCCTACTAGCGTTATATATGCTAATTGAAGATACAAACTTTTCTGACATATTTGTAGATTTATAATTGAATTAAGAATGTGGAAGCTGAAGATTGGTGAAGGAGGGCCATGGTTGATAACCGGAAATAACCACGTCGGTAGACAACACTGGGAATATGATACCGACGCCGGAACACCGGAAGAACACGCCCAAGTCGAGCACTTTCGTGAAGAGTTCAAGAAAAACCGGTTTCGCCAAAAACAAAGTGCCGATCTTTTAATGAGAATGCAGGTACGTATTATATACGTGCATGAAATAATATGATCAACCTTTTTCGCTTCATTGTGATGAACTATATATATATATATATATGAACAAAATATATACATTATATAAAAAGACTTCAAGTTATGTATAAGTTTGAAAGCTTTAATTGAAAACTTCGTACACCAGCTTATAAATATTAAAAAGTGGCTTATACGAAGTAAAGTTTTTATCGTACATCTTTAGAAAACATTAATGAGAATTTATGTTGGGCCTTGCGACGTTTAAATATGGTGGTAACTGTGGAAACATCGTACTCCACCAAGGTGGAAGAGGTGAACTTAGGTGGTCGACGCGACATTGCTGTGGTCGTCAATTTTAAGAAGTCTTTGGTCTTGTTTGGTATCAGATTTGTTTCAATTTTTTAAATAAAAAATAAAAAAAATATTTTATTTTTATTTTTACTTTTTATATTTTTAAACCAAAAAAAAAAAACATGTTTGATAACTACATTTACTTTTTTTGTTCTTAAAAACAAAAAACACTTTTGGTAACAATCATTTTTGTTATATGATTTTGAAAACAATAAGGAGTTGTTTTGTTAAGGGATTCGTATTCCGATTTGAATCATGGTTCGTAGTTTGTTATAGTATTTTCTCTCATAAAAAATATACGTAAATCGAAAAATGGTTCTAATCTCATGATTCTAATTCATGAACTAAACGTCTCCTAAATAAATATATAAGAGTCCTCATGTCGGGATTGGAGAAGCTCATGAGGAGAAAAGACAAAAGTGATCAACAAGGGTCCTTTTGCAAAAATATTTTAAAATATGAGCAAATTGGCCATTTTCTTAATATTTTATTTTCTAGACTTGGGATTTTTCTTTTTAACTAAAATTTCTACATGAATAACTCACAGATGAAAAGGGAAAATCTGCGGGAGCCAATTCCACCGCCAGTGAAGGTGAAGGAAAGTGAGGAAATAACAGAGGATGCAGTGACAAACACACTAAGAAGAGCTCTCAAATACTTTTGCTCTATTCAGGCTCACGATGGCCATTGGCCAGCTGAATGTGCTGGCGGATTGTTTCTCCTCCCACCTCTGGTAACAAATTTATGGTTTTACTCACACATACATTGCCAAATTATGGATAATTCTACTTTACCCATTAATTAAATCATTGTTTATCCCGACGGTGTCACAGCCCCATCACTAATAAGGTAGTGGGCCCTACCCTATGAGTCCCGTCATGTATATGATGAGTTTGTGGCCACGTAGGAGGTTAAAAGCATTTTTCTAAACATTCTTAATTCATTTTTATAGGATTAAAGTCTCACAATTCATACAAGACGTGTCTCGTTAAGTACATAGATTAGACCTAACTTAGTGGGATCGATGAGATTTTATGTCAATGGGGATGAAAAGCATCTCTGCTTTCTAGATTATATATGACGGTACGTTGGACCTGCTCTAATATTGATGAAGAAAGCTAGCGTTTAGTACTATAACACATTGAGAGTTCGTTTAGTTTGCATATTTGAGTTTTTAATTTTAGTTGAAATGTAACTTTATGTGAGAATTTTTTACTGTAGTAAAAAAGTTAAATATAACTGTTTTTGAGAGCTTTTTTCTGTAATAAAATTTGAATTCTAAACTTGAATCGGTGAAATAATCGAACCTGACAAAGTTCCTCTAGCAATGCTAGTAATTATCATATGAACACTAACAAAAAAGTTAAATATAACTGTTTTTGAGAGCTTTTTACTGTAATAAAATTTAAATTCTAAACTTGAATCGGTGAAATAATCGGACCTGACAAAGTTCCTCTAGCAATGCTAGTAATTATCATATGAACACTAATTTGAACTATTAAGAGTTTAGTAGTTAAGATATGAAATTGTGTGTTCCGTAGACTTCAGAATCGACATGTAAAGTTTTATTTGAATGAAAATGTGTATCAACTACGTATAGTTATATATAGCATTGCTTATAATAAAATTATTGATTATTGATATGTTAATTTGTAGGGCCCGTTTGGATTGACTTAAAAAAAGCTGTTTTAAATTTATTTAGTCTAAAAATTGTTTTTGAACGTATTTGGATGACTAATTTTAAAGTGTTTTTAGCTTTTTTAAGTATTTTTAAAACAAATCATCTTCTTGGTGCTTAGGAAAAAAATGCTTATAAAAAGCTTTTTTATTTACATTTTTAACTTTCTATTTGTAAATAACAAATTAAATATCGCATCCATATCATTTTATTACATTACCATTTAGAACAAGAAGTGTTTTTAACTTTTTTATCTAAATAAATTCAAAAGCTCTTCTTAAATATAAAAGCACTTTTTCAGACACTATTCAAACACTAATTAAAAACTCAAGTTTATACTTATCTTCTTCTACTGTTTAAAGAAGTACAAACACAAGCTATTTCAAGCAGGACCTAATTTTTTTCCTGGAAAATTGTGTTTGTTGTTACTCATTAATGAGATCTAAGAGACAAAAACAGATCATGTCATCCTCTCTATATATATGTGCGATACATCTAGAACGGTAAAATGTATAATAATATGTCATCACAGCAAATGCTCTTAAATTGGTTAGAAATGGTGATATAAAATCATGGGATCGGAGTAGCTATTTTTAAAAAAATAATAATAATAAAGAGAGCGCATTTGGAATTAGGGTATAAACTAACATATGCCTTCACTCAGTATTATTAGATAAAAATACAAAAATTCAAAAATGTGTGTATATATATGTGTGTGTAATATGTAGTACGTGTGATATATGGGTTGAAACCTAGTTATATAGCAGAACAGTTATATATATATATATATAACTAACTTATATGTCCATATATAATCGTATGCGCTTACGTTGTATGCGTGTTTTTTTAAACAAATAAATAAATCTACAACATATATATGTACTGCTGATCGAAATTCAACAAATATAACGGACCGAATTTATGAAACAAAATGCATGCAGGTAATAACACTATACGTTACTGGAGCAATCAATGCAGTTTTTGGACCTGAACATCGGAAGGAAATAATTCGCTATATTTACAATCACCAGGTATATTATGTATAGAGATTCTCATTAATTTTTGCAAAAATCTAATTAAAGCCTTCTTGAACAAGGGAATTAAAACAATATTATTAAAACAAACAATCAAATTATTATTATTATTGTATTTTGTTTCTTTTTACATACATGATTATAATATGCATGCTTATGGCAGAATGAAGATGGAGGTTGGGGACTACACATAGAGGGTCCTAGCACAATGCTGGGTTCCGCGGAGAACTATATAGCCTTGAGGTTGCTGGGAGAGGGCCCTGAAGATGGTGAGGATGGAGCTGTAGCTAGGGGCAGAAAATGGATTCTTGACCACGGCGGTGTAGTCGGAATTCCGTCATGGGGAAAGTTTTGGCTAACGGTAAAGACGTCCAAACGTCATCTTGTGATCATCGATGCATTTCGGACCCTGTTTGCACCACGTATTTAAACACGTGATTTTAATTCTGCTACAGTGTTTTCTCACACACAAAAATTTAAAGATTAATCACAAAAATTCTCCCTAAATTACATCCCTTGTAAGTTGTAACACTTTGTCCATTGATATTTCAAACTTAACATCCATTTTCCTGAACAATAAAATGTTAACAAAAAACCCTCTCTATTAGGTTTTTGACTGAAATTAACATTTAATATGCTATGTTGAGGATATTTTAATAATTATCTGGTTTAAATTTTAATTTTAATTTAAATTAATTTAAAATTAAAAAAACATCATAAATTTTTTTATTCTACCAAAAAAAAAAGATTCATAAAATTTAACTTATGTTCCATCAATCATGAATGTATCATAATTAAAAGTTTAAATTTAATTTAATTTTAAATTCGAACTAAATTTAAATCATAGAACAACCAAAATACCCTCAAAATAACAAATTAAATTTCAATTTTCGTTAAAAAATCTAATAAATGGGACTTTTCTATTAGCATTTCATTGTTTAGGAGAATATATGTTACGTTTTAAAGATTAGGTGACAAAGTGTTACAAGGGATATAATTCAAGAAGAATTTTTGCATTAATTCAAAATTTTAAATAAAAAAAGTTCTCGCTAATAAATTCTCTCACAAAATGTGAATTCAAAATTAAAATCGCTGACTTGAACCTATAAACCCAAAAAGTCCAGCATGTTTATTATTTTTTGAACTTTTTAGACATGTAACAAAAGTTTATAAGTCATATTAAAACATAGTTAAAATCTTATAATATATTACATATAGCAAAAGATTAGTATCATTAAAACATTGAGTACGTCGTTAATGATATATATAAATATGAATATTATTACTATATAATTTTTGCTATAATTTTAATTTTTTTTTAAAAAAAAGACTATTTCAACAGCACTACTCTCATAAATTTGACGTGTAGTGTAATTTGTACTTACTTTTTAATATTTGTCAAAAACTGTTGGCTTGGTTTGTCGAGTTTCAGTTTAAATGAAAGACATGTTTTCTCTAATTTGGTTCAGGTGCTTGGTGTGTACGAGTGGTCGGGTTGCAATCCACTGCCTCCAGAGCTTTGGCTTTTTCCAAAAACGTTTTTTATTCATCCAGGTCAGACATAAATTATAACTATATTTTTCCTTTATTTTATGGGTCTTTTACATTTTTTCACCGTTGATCTGTCGAAATTACATCATAATATAAAAATATATCAGATAAATCTAATGGTTGAAAAACATAATCCTATCATTACTACATTTTTTGTATGGCCTATTGCAAAAATCTCTTTATTTTACAAACTAGACTTGTTATTTATTCATGTTTACAGCACAACAACTTTATGAATTCACATTTTAACTCGAATCAGTGAATTAAACGGGCCCGAAATGCATGCAGGGAAAATGATAGCATTAGCTCGTTTGGTTTACTTGCCAATGTCATACTTATATGGGAAGAGATTTGTTGGTCCGGTCACCAATTTGGTTCAATCACTGAGGCAGGAACTCTATACTGAGCCATATAAAGAAATAAACTGGAATAAAGCTCGAAACACTATTGCCAAGGTCAGTTGGTCTCAAGTTCAAAAGTACATGATACCATATGCATGATACTACTAAGTTTCACGAGAAAGAATCCAGATCAGCTATCCCCATTATTTAGTTTCTCGGTAGCTGTTCCTCTATAGATTATTTGTCGTATGTCATCTAATTTTAAGAATTTGACTATATAAATAAGAAAAAAAATACTAAAAATACTTAAACAATTCATAAGATGTCAAATTTTAATTGGAGAGACAGCCATCGAAATAGGAAAATGAGACAACAGCTCTTGATTCCACAAGAAAGGGTTTTTATCCAAAAAAAAAAAAGAAAAAATCTGTCTCGAAGTTAAATGTTGGCTTGTAGTCATAGTTTAGAAATTGGGTGTGTTTGGAACTCGTTTCAAAATAATTTTATTTTTTGTATGAAAATGGAAATGAAAACGTTTTTAGTCTCATACATAAATCATTTTTGAAAATGTGTTTGGTAGTTTTATCAAGAGATTATTTTCAGTATAAAAAAACCCATTAATGTCTCTTTCTCTTTGGAGAAAACGAAAACAAAAAATGAAAAACGACTAAAAGTCGTTTTTCATTTCTCTCCCATTTTACACTAAACTAAAAAATCATTTTCATTTCCGTTTTTTGTCTTTAATTGTGCCAAACACCGTTTTGAAATCGTTTTTATTTTTTTTTCTCAAAAAACGTGAAAAATAAAAACAAGAACAATTTCAAACACGGTATTAGTTTTTGCCCTTAATTTGTCATAAAATTTAAGTTGTCCCCTAATTTATAAGAAAAATTATAAGTATGTCGCTCAAGTCAATAATTGAAATACAATAACTACATTAATCTCATACAATAAAAAGTTTGACAAAGCCTTTGAACAATTGTTGGCTTGCTTGTGCTCTATTGCCACTCCACAGGAGGATCTCTTTTATCCGCATCCTTGGGTGCAAGATGTTCTTTGGGGCTTTCTTTACCACGTTACCGAACCAATTCTGGCATGTTGGCCTTTTTCCAAGTTAAGAGAGAAAGCACTTGATGTTGTTATTGAGAGTGTACATTACGAGGATACACTTAGCAGATATCTTTGTGTTGCCAGTCAAGAAAAGGTGTTTTTTTTTTTTTTTCTTTTTCCTAACAAATTAAGCCCTTTTTTTTTTTTTTTTGGCTTTTTCCTCATGATTGAATTTTTTTTTTTAACATTTTTTAATTGTTTTGCAGGTGTTAAGTTTGCTTGCTTGTTGGGTAGAAGATCCAAATTCACAAGCATACAAGTATCACCTAGCTAGAATCCCAGATTATTTTTGGGTTGCTGAAGATGGAGCCAAATATCTGGTCCAATTCTTTATCCTTAGCCTCTAATATACAATTTATAGCAACTTTTTTTGTTTTTGTTTTTGAACTTCGACGCGGGAATTCGAACTTTACAGCCATGATGAATTTAGTCGTGGAATTATAGTTAGATTATGCTAATAATCACGGAAGTTTTTAGCAACTTGACATGTCATAACTCTTTTTTTTAATCTATAATATATATTTGAGATTTTTTTTAACATTTTTTGAACTCAATTAAGGATGTTTTAAACTTTTAAAGTTACATGTAATTGTGTTCTACAGGGTAACGGTTCTCAAACATGGGATGTAGCTCTTGCAGTTCAAGCAATTATCTCTTGCAATTTAAACGAAGAGTATGGTATGGTACTGAGAAAAGCTCATGAGTTTTTGAAGGCTTCACAGGTTGGATCTCATTGTCATATAATTTGTGCACATCTAGTACTTGTCATGAATGGAAATAAATTTTAAGAAAAATATTTTCCTTCTCTATTTATTTATTCATGTGTTTACTTATAAAATAAAAAATGCTATAATATATAGTGGACTGAGGGAATGAGAAAAAAAGGGCAATCTTAAGTTGTTGCTAGACAAAATAAAGCAATCCTTAAGTTACCGTAAACTTAAGTTTTTGATAGACAAAATAAATCCAAACCCGTTAATTTCATAAGGATTTCAAGTTATGTTTTGTGTCATGACTCAAAATTACCACTCATAAATGCAACCTTTAGTTAGTTACACCATGATACTATATATTCTTTCTCATTTATCGAAATAAAGCACAAATTATGTAAATTTCAACTCATAATTATTTGGACAATGACATTTTAGTACTTAACTTCCATTAAGATTCCTATTACTAGAACTAATATACACTTGAGAGATTATCGGTTTATTTTCAATTCCACTAAATAAACACTTAGGGCAAAAAAATCAACGAGCCCTCTATTTATTAATTGATTCATTCTTTTTCAACACATTTTTACTTTCTCATTACATTCCATATTACAAGTTAGTAAACATGCTCTTGGTAATATATAGGTTGACGTTTATCACCAGAAATTATTACTGAATCCAATTTTTTCTGTTGCACTTTTAAGCTTCGTGAAGATCCACCAGGAGATTTCACTACAATGCATAGACATATATCTAAAGGTGCGTGGACCTTTTACTTTGCTGACCACAATTTTGCAGTTTCGGATTGCACTGCAGAAGGACTAAAGGTAACATTTATGCATTAATAGCAATTGTTCACAGAAAATCAAAGAACTTTTTGTTAGAAATCAAAGATTTGGTGAAAACCACCACCCAAAAGCCAAGAACATTCATGTTAGATCATCAAGAATTAATAAATCTGTAAGCGGAAGCGTACCTGAATCCATAATGCTTGATTTCTCTCTAGAGTCATGCAGTTTGTCTTCCAGATCAACACATTTTCCTAGAGAACCCTTTAACTTTATCTCTGTATTCTTTCTGATGATGGGATGTCAGAATGAATGAAATGATACAGTGTGATCTGGGGACCATAACTGCTATATATTGACAACTTCCCTGTTATCTTTTGGTATTTCTATTTTAGCCCATCATAAAAATAGAAATTACCCTTAAGTCTCTACACATTAAAGACCCACACCCTATTAGATACATTAAAGCCCAAAATACATAAACCTTAGTAGATCACTT